TGTGGACTATTCCACAGGATTCAACCACACAACCTCAATGGAGATGCATTCCAACAAAATTTATGTTAAGAAAGAAAATTCCAATCATCTGAAATGACAACTCAAACTTCTATCTGAGAACTTAGTCCCTTCCCCGGACTTTCGGTAGTAAAACTTCTTAAACGTATTAACTGAAGTCCAATCTGCGGTCCGCAGAATCTGTTTCAGAGAAACGCCACTGTTAAATGCTGCTGAAGCAGAAGCTCCTCTGTAAGAGTGAGGTTTAAAAACAGTCACATCAATTCCTGCATTAATGAGCACTGTCCGTAGCCATCTGGCCATAGTGCATGTAGACACCGCAGAAAAAATCTTGTATGAAATCAACAATCTACTTGACGTCCTTAGTTCCCGAGTGCGACAAATATATTCAAACAAAGTGTCCAATACACAAATTTCTGGTTTAGAGTATCTCTCCAGAAGAATCTCCTGAATCGGTTTGCCCAACTTACTTGTTTTAGTGAGTTCATAAATTTAAAAATTCACTTTAGAGTGATCGTCTGCTACTTGCAGATAACTTGAATCTAACGCCACCAGCGTCTGAGCTCTCTCATCCAAATACTGTTTCTGAGTTCCCGGTCGCCAGCTGGAACAGATGACATCAATGACTGAGTCCTGAAGTCCCTGATGTTTGAGGGCACTCCTGATACTTTGCAGGCGGTGATTATCAGCCGTCTCCGAAGTGGGTGGAACTGGGTCGGGTCGTGTGAAGCCACCAAGAGATCGTTGTAGCGTGGAAGACTAACAGGAAAATCAATAAGAGCATCAATTAACAGAGGGAATCAAGCTGCTGTTCTCCATAATGGAGCAATAATAATAGCTCTTAGAACTCTATCCCTACGGATTTTCATCGACACCCTACTTAACATACAGAAAGGTGGAAATATGTATGGCTGATGATTTGTCCAGGAAATGGAGAAAGCATCACATGCACAGGCCCCAGGTTCAAACCTCCAAGACACAAATTTATCAAGTGGAGAATTGTGCCTATTAGCAAACAAATCGAGAAAAAATTGACAAATTCTAGAAAATATCTCTGTTCTGCCCTCATCAAAGAGTCCCCCTTTCCTTAACTAGGCAGACAGATAACTCTTTCCACACACTGTAGTCAGTGTAAGATGGCTTTATTGTCCACCGCTGATTAGCACTCACAGCATGAGAATAGGTAAAACTGCAATCAAGAAATAACACAAAATAATCAGTTACTCTGATAACCCCTTTTTAAAGTACATATTAACCACACATCTCAGCATATAAGAACTAATTTATGTAACTGTGTAACTGATGACTATGGTTAGTAAACTATTAGCATGCAATGTAATGATAAGCAATGAAAAAGGCAGGATATACAATGTAAAGTAACATCCACCCAAAATATAC